ACTGAGATCTGGTACCAGACAGGGATGCCCACTCTCACCACTACTATTCAATATAGTTCTGGAGGTTCTAGCCAGAGCTATTAGGCAAGAAAAAGAAATTAAAGGGATACAAATTGGGAAGGAAGAACTCAAACTATCCCTCTTTGCAGAGGACATGATTCTTTATTTAGGGGACCCAAAGAACTCTACTAAGAGACTATTGGGACTCATAGAAGAGTTTGGCAAAGCAGCAGGGTATAAAATCAATGCACAAAAATCAACAGCCTTTGTATACACAGGCAATGCCATGGCTGAGGAAGAACTTCTAAGATCAATCCCATTCACAATAGCTACAAAAACAATCAAATACCTTGGAATAAACTTAACCAAGGACGTTCAAGATCTCTACGATGAAAATTACAAAACCTTAAAGAAAGAAATAGAAGAGGATATCAAGAAATGGAAACATCTTCCATGCTCATGGATTGGAAGAATCAATATCATCAAAATGTCCATTCTCCCAAAAGCAATTTATAGATTCAATGCAATAACAATCAAGATACCGAAGACCTTCTTCTCAGATCTGGAAAAAAATGGTGCTGAAATTTATATGGAGGCATAAGAGACCTTGAATAGCTAAAGCAATCTTGTACAACAAAAACAAAGCCTGAGGCATCACAATACCAGATTTCAGAACATACTACAGGGCAGTTGTAATCAAAACAGCATGGTAGTGGTACAGAAACAGATGGATAGACAAATGGAACAGAATTGAAACACCAGAAATCAACCCAAACATCTACAGCCAACTTATATTTGATCAAGGATCTAAAACTAATTCCTGCAGCAAGGACAGTCTATTCAATAAATGGTGCTGGGAAAACTGGATTTCCACGTGCAGAAGCATGAAATAAGACCCCTACCTTACACCTTACACAAAAATCCACTCAACATGGATTAAAGACCTAAATCTACGACCTGACACCATCAAGTTATTAGAGAACATTGGAGAAACCCTTCAAGATATTGGCACAGGCAAAGAATTTCTGGAAAAGACCCGGGAGGCACAGACAGTCAAAGCCAAAATCAACTATTGGGATTGCATCAAATTGAGAAGTTTCTGTACTGCAAAAGAAACAGTCAGGAGAGTGAAGAGACAACCGACAGAATGGGAAAAAATATTTGCAAACTATGCAACAGATAAAGGGTTAATAACCAGAATCTACAAAGAGATCAAGAAACTCCACAAAAACAAAACAAACAACCCACTTAAGAGATGGGCCAAGGACCTCAATAGACATTTTTCAAAAGAGGAAATCCAAATGGCCAACAGACACATGAAAAAATGTTCAAGGTCAGTAGCAATCATGGAAATGAAAATCAAAACCACAGTGAGGTTTCACCTCACCCTGGTTAGAATGGCTCACATGCAGGAATCTACCAACAACAGATGCTGGCGAGGATGTGGGGAAAAAGGGACACTAACCCACTGTTGGTGGGAATGCAAACTGGTCAAGCCACTATGGAAGTCAGTTTGGAGATTCCTCAGAAACCTGAATATAACCCTACCATTTGACCCAGCCATCCCACTCCTTGGAATTTACCCAAAGGAGTTCAAATTGGCAAACAAAAAAGCGGTCTGCAGCCTAATGTTTATTGCAGCTCAATTCACAATAGCTAAGACCTGGAACCGACCTAAATGCCCATCAACGGTAGACTGGATAAAGAAATTATGGGATATGTACTCTTTAGAATACTATACCGCAGTAAGAAACAACGAAATCCAGTCATTTGCAACAAAATGGAGGAATCTGGAACACATCATGCTGAGTGAAATAAGCCAGTCCCAAAGGGACAAATACCATATGTTCTCCCTGATCGGTGACAACTGACTGAACACCAAAAAGGAAACCTGTTGAAGTGAAATGGACACTATGGGAAACGGTGACTGGATCAGCATAGCCCTGACTGTTAATGAACAACTTAATACATTATCCCTATTAGTAGTTTTTTTGTCTGTTCTACTTAATATGACTGGTTTAATTCTGTAATTAATACACAGTTATTCTTAAGTGTTGAAATTTAACTGAAATGTGATCCTGTTAAACATAAGAGTGGGGATAAGAGAGGGAAGAGATGTGCAATTTCAGAGATGCTCAAGCTGACTTGCTCCAAATGGTAGAGTTAGAAACATACCAGGGGACTCCAATTTAATCCCATCAAGGTGGCATGTACCAATGCCATCTCACCAGTCCAAGTGATCAATTTCAGTTCACAATTGATCATAATGAAAGAACTAAGAGTCAAAGGGATCACATAAACAAGTCTAGTACCTGCTAATACTAACTGATAGAATAAATAAAGGGGAGAGTGATCCAACATGGGAAGCGAGATACTCAGCAGACTCATAGAATGGTGGATGTCCTAAACAGCACCCTGGCCTCAGAATCAGCCCTAAAGGCATTTGGATCTGGCTGAAAAGCCCATGAGAGTATTTCCGGCATGGAAAGCCAAGACACTCTGGAAAACAAACAAACAAACAAACAAAAAACAAAAACAAAAAACAAAACAAAACAAAAAAAACCCTAAATGAAAGATCTCTGTGAGTGAGATCCCAGTGGAAAGAACAGGCCTTCAAAGAAGGAGGTAGCTTTCTCTGAAGGGAGGAGGGAACCTCCACTTTGACTATGACCTTGTCTAAACAAGAGTCGGTGAACTCAAAAGGCTTCCATAGCCTTTGAAACTCATGACTGGTGCATAGGGAGATTACTGATGCCATAAACAGGAGTGTCAATTTGTAAAGTCAACAACAGGAGTCACTGTGCACTTACTCCTCATGTAGGATCTCTGTCTTTAATGTGCTGTACATTGAGACTTAATGCTATAATGAGTACTCAAACAGTATATTTCGCTTTGTGTTTCTATGGGGGTGCAAGCTGTTGAAGTCTTTACTAAATTGATCTTCTGTAAAAAAAAAAAAAAAGAAGAAGAAATTATCTATTCCCAACGTGACTCTCACGGGATTAAACATGACAATAGGTCTGATCTGATTTCATCATCATTTAAAAAATCATCTATTATTTTTCACTTTATGTTTCTGTGGGAGCAAACTGTTGAAATCTTTACTTAATGTATGCTAAACTGATCTTCTGTATATAAAGAGAATCGAAAATGAATCTTGATGTGAATGGAAGGGGAGAGGGAATGGGAAAGGGGAGGGTTGCGGGTGGGAGGGACATTATGGGGGTGGAAGCCATTGTAATCCATAAGCCGTACTTTGGAAATTTATATTCATTAAATAATAGTTAAAAAAAAAGAAATGATAAAAAAAAACAAAAACCTTCTCATCTCAGGAAGAAACTCAGTTTGGGGGGTTCCTTCAGGATTATATGACATAGTGCATGGGATAGGGTAGGTATCTGATCCCCCACAGCATCTCCTGCCAGTTTGATGTGAATATTTTCTCAGTTGAATGGATGTTGGAGTCTCTTGACTTATCTGGACTTCCCTCACAGTGAATTGACTTGTGAATTTATGTATTTAGAGCATCCATGGATGGATGGTGACTGAGGGGCCTCTACCATATGTGATGCCAAACTCTGAAAATTGCAATGTCTTGATTCTAGCCTATATTATTTCAACATATGATCCTAATTCACCCATTTCTATGAATTAAGATTTTATCTGAAAATAAAATAATGCTCAATTAGCAATAGTTTCAAAAATCGTGTGTTTATCTGACTTTTAGGGAGTCTCATGTTGGTTAGTCAAGAACTCGAACTATAGACCTGAAGCTCCATGGACTCAAGTGCCTGATATTTTCTGTCACCACACTTACTCCATGTGCCTTCCCAGTGATGCTGCAATACGCATGTCCAAAGTGACATCATTACCAGTTCCGCTGTCTTATACTCCTATGTATTCTGATTAAGAGGGAGAAAAGAACATGGTGACACCAGAAGTTCATTCTCTTATGTTATTGATGAGAAATATGTTGAATGGCTAACATCGCTGTAAGAGAGATGCTTAAATGCAATTTTGAGTTAAGCAAGGGATGGGTGAAAGAAACAAAGACTGGGTGAACTAATTTACATTCTCTGCCTTACCATCTAGTTGTTATAGTTTTTCTTAAGCTTTTGATTTTAGAGTAGTTTTAAATTTACAAAACAAAAACTGTGAAGCAGTACGAAGAGTTCTCTGATACCTCATACTCAGCTTTCCCTGTTGGTAACATCTTATAATGGTATATGTTTGTCACAATCCATAAGCTATACCCAGTTTTCCCTATTATTAACTCCCCCCATACTAGTATAAAATATTTGTCACCTTTAATGGACCACATCCAGTTTCCTCTGCATTTAAAATCCAAATCCTTTTAATCTATCCCACCCCTCCCAGCCTCCAGGAATTAAACTTTTGTGTTCAGATAAAGGCCTGTCTTCCTTTTTTCCTTCCTTCATTTCTGTTCCCATTAATGAGGGAGAACATGTGATATTTTTTTTCTCTAGCTAACTGCTTTCTTTTTTAAAAAATTATTTATTTATTTGAAAGGCAGAGTTATAGAGAGGCAGTGGCAAAGAAAGACAAAGAGGTCTTCCATGCGCTGGTTCGCTCTCCAGATGGCTGTAACGGCCAGAACCTTGCAGATCAGAAAGCAGGAGCCAAGAGCTTCTTCTGGGTCTCCCACGTAGGTTAAGGGGTCAAAGGACTTGGGCCATCTTCTACCACTTTCCCAGGCCATAGCAGAGAGCTGGACAGGAAGTGGAGCAGCTGGGACTGGAACCAGTGCCCCTATGGGATGCTGCCACTGCAGGCGGCAGCTTTACCTGGTATGCCACAGTGCCGGCCCAGCCAACTGCTTTCATTTAACATCATGTCCTCTAGTTCAATCCAGTGGATTTGGTTTTAATATTTTAGCTTTTACTATATAAGCATGCTCATCTTTAAGTAAATCTGAGTTTCTATGGATTGATTATGATAAAATATGCTGGCAAAACATTAAATATTCAAATAATTTCTAGGAAAAACACAACCAACAGTCTGAATTTACTATTGAAAACTTGATGACCACAGTGACTGATGTATTTGCTGCTGGAACAGAGACCACAAGCACCACCCTGAGGTATGGACTCCTGCTCCTGATGAAGCACCCAGAGGTCACAGGTAAGTTCATGATGAACGCACAAGGCCGATATCAGCAGGTGTAGGGAAGCCAGTGCTGGTGCCCTCCCTCTTGTTTCTCTTAGAGAAGCTTCATTATTGAAATTTCTGTGCCCCCAGCTGAAATTTGTGCAAATATGGTGAAGGGATAAAAATGAGAGAAATGTGCCTAGTAGGGAAGTGACTGAAGGGGTGAAGACAATGTGAGCAGTAGCAAAGTCATACAACTCTGGGTTGGTGACAACACACTCCAAACAAAGTGTCTGGGCTCCATGAAGGGGGTTTGCAGCAGGCACAGGCATTATGTCCCGGCCTGGGACTGCCTTGCATTTTTTTCTAAGAAGAGAGCGGTTTGATTGGTAGGTGGTATTCCCACAGATCTTTCATTATTCTCAAAATATAGTGTTCTTATCCTGGGGCAATGAAGACTGAGTATTTATTTATTGAAGTATTGTGAATATACTAGAAATGTGAGGAGAAGGCCTCAGAGAATTTCCACAGTCTGGGAAGTATTTTATAAGGTTAAATTTTTAGAAAAATTAACCACAATTTAGGAATAAGTTGTGCCTAAGTGATGTTTTAATCCAGGAATCTGAATACAAAAAAGCATTTGCCCATACTTTTATCTTTTACAAACTTTTTTTTTAAATTGAAATTTATTTTCCTTTAAGTAGGCCCTGTTTCTACACATCAGTAACTACTGAGATTTCTCTGGTTAGGAACTCCATTGAAATGATGATAAATTAATTACAGATGAGAATTCTTCCTGTTAAAGTACTTTACTGTACATCTGAAGCACACAGAGCAGATGGAGGCGTGATACCCAGTTCTCTAGAGAGCCTGAAGTTCCAGCCTAAGTGCCATAAAAAGATTCATCCTGAATGAGCAGGCAGTCTGTGCCCCCACACTTCCCCCCGCCCAACCCTTGGGAAGAAGAGAGTCCCAGAAGGTATAGAGAGGATAAAGCAGAAAACAGGAGGCTCTCCCTCTCCGGGTTCCATCCTCATCTCAATTTATCTGAGAGCTGTTGTCTCCCACGGGGAAGGAAGTTGTGTTCTCCAGAGAAACTGAACCCAAGAGGCCCAGCATAGGGACATCAGTCAGAGCCAGGGAAGGAGGGAGGTGCAGGGCAGACAAAGTCCCCTGGAACGTGGATGCCCTCAGCCACTTTGTGCGTCTTGTCCCTGTAACCCAGCAGCCCTGTGTAAACAGTAGAGAAGGAGTAGCACCAGCGAAAAGACATCCATTTATTGCCATCGAGATAGAAAGTTCTCGCCAAATGCCCATAAACTGAATGAAATGAAAATATCCACCCCAGATGCAGGGCCATGGAATTCCAGAACACGAGGATTAAAAGGTAAATAATAAAACCTTCAGAGACAAGTGAAGTCATATACAAAGAATGAGTATGAGAATGGCCTTAGAATCTTTGAGTAGCTCTCACCTTGTGTATTGCTGTGTTTTGAGACCTACAGATTGATATTTGGTTCTTTGCTTTTGTTTTCTCAGTCAGACACTAGAAGTTGTGCTCCATGCAAGTGTCTTAAATAAAGTGACAGGAAGTTATAAGTTCCAGGAATTAGGAGAGCTCATGATAGAGGCTGTGAGGGTGAGGGAGGGCGATGGCCACCAGACCTGGAAACAATTCACAGTGGACCTGGTGGACAATGCGGGTGTGAAGGGAGACACTAAGGACAAAGCAGTGGTGACTGTTTGATGTTGTCAGTAAATAGAAAATTAATGCTATCAATTTAAAATATATACAAGCAATTGCACTAATGCAAAATTCCTATCTGAAATTGGGAATTGAGGTTTGAATGGCTGTGAGGGGCATGGCCAGGGAGTCTAAGGATACCCTAGGCTCACCAGCACTTGGGTGGCCTGAGGCTCCCAGATACCATGAGGGCAGATTTTAAGATTATAGCATCTAAACATCACAATGTTAAAAAAACGGAGATTTTGTAATGATAGTGAGGATCATTCTGCTAATCTGCCTAGAAAAAAGGATCTCTAATTTCACTAAAAACACAAGAAAGAAGTTAAGAAATCTCCTGAACAATTGAGTACTTACATAAGTAGAACAGTTGGACAAGCTGTGGAAATGGAAGATAAACTACATAAGGTGATACATTGCAGAAAGTTCTTCATCCCTTTCCAAATCCTTGTTACAGAGAAAAACAGTCCCCTAGCAGTGGGGGCTGTGACATGGCAAATAAAGAATGAACTGGCTGTACGGTCCAATTGCCTAAACAATTACACCATGGTAGTTCAACATACTTGGCTAATTTCAGGGACACTAGTTCTTCACAGCCGGGAAGTCCATCATTAAAATATAGCAGGTTTTTTTCCTTGGGTTTCTCAGGACCATGAAACAGTGGCCCAAGTTTACTCAGTAGGAATCTGAGATTGAATTTAGCATTAGCTTTCTGGAGACATTGTGGTGGAAGTGAATGTGTAGCTTGTTTAGTGAGGATAGAAGGTCTTGGAGTTGTAGCAGATTGCCTTCTCATGCTCACCTATAGTTTACAGGAAGAAAATCACTGTATCGCCCTTGACTGCTATGTGGAAGTGTTGCCTATAGTAACATAACATCATCGCTTAAAAACAGATTTGAAGAATATGCAACAGTTGGTTTAAACCAGCTTCAGTCATAAAAATGTGGTGGACAGAACTGTCATCCAAATCAGAAATCATAAGTGATGGAAATATCAGATTTTAAATAATAGTTAAGTGTAATGTGGGAAAAGGAAAACCATCTTACTTTGGTTCCAGCATGTATATGAAATGTAGCTAAGAATATAGATCCTTTTTTATTAAAGCTGCATTGAGATTTTTTTTCTACTAGAGAGTGTTTTTTTTTTAACTTTTATTTAATGAATATAAATTTCCAAAGTACAGCTTATGGATTACAATGGCTTCCCCCCCATAACGTCCCTCCCACCCGCAACATTCCCAACTCCCACTCCCTCTCCCCTTTCATTCACATCAAGATTCATTTTCAATTCTCTTTATATACAGAAGATCAGTTTAGCATACATTAAGTAAAGATGTCAACAGTTTGCTCCCACACAGAAACATAATAAAGTGAAAAATACTGTTTGAGTACTAGTTATAGCATTAAATCTCAATGTACAGCACACTAAGGACAAAGATCCTGCATGAGGAGTAAGTGCACAGTGACTCCTGTTGTTCAATTAACAAATTGACACTCTTGTTTATGGCATCAGTAATCACCCTAGGCTCTTGTCATGAGCTGCCAAGGCTATGGAAGCCCTCTGAGTTCACTGACTCTGATCATATTTAGACAAGGCCATGGTCAAAGTGGAAGTTCTCTCCTCCCTTCAGAGAAAGGTACCTCCTTCTTTGATGACCTGTTCTTTCCACTGGAATCTCACTCGTGGAGATCTTTCATTTAGGTTTTTTTTTTTTTTTTCTTTTTTTCCCCAGAGTGTCTTGGCTTTCCATGCCTGAAATACTCTCATGGGCTTTTCAGCCAGATCCAAATGCCTTAAGGGCTGATTCTGAGGCCAGAGTGCTGTTCTATGGGTCTGCTGTGTATCTCACTTCCCATGTTGGATCATTCTCTCTCTTTTTTATTCTATCAACTAGTATTTGCAGACACTAGTTTTGTTTATGTGATCCCTTTGGTTCTTAGTCCTATCATTATGATCAATTGTGAACAGAAATTGATCACTGGGACTAGTGAGATGGCATTGGTACATGCCACCTTGATGGGATTGAATTGGAATCCCCTGGTATGTTTCTAACTCTACCGTTTGAGGTAAGTCAGCTTGAGCATGTCCCAAATTGCACATCTCTTCCCTCTCTTATTCCCACTCTTATATTTAACAGCAATCACTTTTCAGTTAAGTTTCAGCACTTGAGAATAATTGTGTGTTGATTACAGTATTCAACCAAAAGCATTAACTAGAACAAACGAAAAAAATACTAAGAGGGATAACATATTAAGTTGTTGTTTTGAATAGATATCCTGAGACTATATGATATCCGAAACTAGTCTCTTCTGAAAACTGTAAATTGTGAAATAAATAAAATTATTTCTTTTAAAAAGCCACATATTAAAAGCGGTAGTGAAATTCGTAAAATCTACTTAATGTTGCAGGGAAATAGTATCCAGAAGGAGCACCTTCAACTTCAATGAGGTGAAAGTGCACCAGATTGTTCCCCTTTACTGCACTTGGGATTTCATGGCATTGTTTAAGAACTACTGGGGCCGGCGCCATGGCTCACTAGGACAATCCTCCGCCTTGCGGTGCTGGCACACCAGGTTGTAGTCCCGGTCGGGGCGCCGGATTGTGTCCCGGTTGCTCCTCTTCCAGGCCAGCTCTCTACTGTGGCCAGGGAGTGCAGTGGAGCATGGCCCAAGTGCTTGGGCCCTGCACCTTATGAGAGACCAGGATAAGTACCTGGCTCTTGCCATTGGATCAGCATGGTGTGCCGGCCACAGCGCGCCGGCCACGGCGGCCATTGGAGGGTGAACCAACGGCAAAGGAAGACCTTTCTCTCTGTCTCTCTCTCTCTCCTTGTCCACTCTGCCTATAAAAAAAAAAGAACTACTGGGTCATACTGCAGTCATGCATATGAATATAATTTATACTTTGAAAAAGTAAGACAGGACTTCTTCCTAGAAACTACAAAAACAGATCATTTTTAAATATTGTGTTTTACTTAAAAGACACTTAGGCTGGCACTGCGGCTCACTAGGCTAATCCTCCGCCTACGGCGCTGACACCCTGGGTTCTGTCCCGGTTGCTCCTCTTCCAGTCCAGGCTGTGGCCCGGGAGTGCAGTGGAGGATGGCCCAGGTCCTTGGGCCTTGCACCCACATAGGGAGACCAGGAGGAATCACCTGGCTCCTAGTTTCAGATTAGTGCAGTGCGCTGGGCGCAATGTGCCAGCCATAGCGGCCACTTGGGGGGTGAATCAACGGAAAAAGGAAAACCTTTTTCTCTGTCTCTCTCTCTCTCTCTCACTGTCTAACTCTGTCAAAAAAAAAAAAAAAAAAAAAAAAAAAAAGACACTTAAACCGGTGCAGCTACTTCCTTATATTGAAAAAACCTTGGAAGTGAAAACATCAAAACAAATAATCAATATTAAATTTTTTTTGCTCACACTGAGATGCTGTGTGAGCAAAACACCTTAATTATTACTGTGCCAGTGTATTATGATGCCAATGTTTTTGGCATGATGAAATCCTGGAATTAAATCAAGGGTTTACATAAATATTTCCCACAATTTTCTAAACTTGAGAATATTTTTAGTCTCTGATTATTTTTGCCAGAATTATCATGTCATGTATGCTTGTATGTATTGTTCCTATATAAAGAAAAAAGTGAATATGTGTTTGCATGAATATTTAACTGGAAATGTATATGGAGTTAGCTACTTTATAATAACATTTTAATTGTATATTGATTTCTAATATGTTTCATTTCCATGTGATTTAGACTTCCTTCATTTGAGTAAATTCATTAAATATTTTTTAAAAAAGAAGAGATTGGAATAGACGCTTTAAACATGAATGTACAAAAGATAAAACATGATCATAATTGTCTTGTCTGTGATCAGTGCACTGTAAATCATGGTGGTGTAAACAATGAACAGTGATATAGTAAAAACTGCAATACAAAAATACTGGAAAATGGAGTGAGGCAAAGTACATGTGTACAAGTGTGTTTTTGTATATTTTGTATGAAGAGATGATGCAGATGTGTAAGTCCTCATGCCTCCTACTAGCAAGTTTTAGAAATCATTTAAAATAGATAAAATAAAAATTAGAGTCATTTAAATATGTGAATGTAATCCTCAAAAATCTAAAAATAGATACTGTATGATCCTGATATTCCACATTTTGGTATATAGTCAGAGGAAATCAACTCAGCATATCAAAAAATATTTAAATTCCTAGGTTTATTGCTGCAGAATTTACAATACTTTAGACATGGAATAAACTTTGATGCCTATCAACAGAGTAGTGGGAAAAGAAAACATGATATACATGCACATGCACACACACATATGTATATACACACACAACACACACATACACATATATACACACATATACACAGACACAATGGGATGTTATTCAGCTTTAAAAACAATGGTGTCTTATATTTTAGAGCAAAATGGATGGAGCTAGGGGCTATCATATTAACTGAAATAAGCCAGACTCAGAAAAACAAACATTATATGTGCTTTCTCATATGTGGTACTTCCAAAATGTCATTTTGAATGTAGAATAGTGAGCATTACAGTTGAGGGTGAGGAGTCAGGGATAGAGAGAGGCTGGACAACAGGTTCCCAGACACAGCTCCACAGAGGGGACGAGCCCCAGTGTTCTGCAGCATGGGGGGCAGCGGGGTGACTGTAGTTCTGGGTTACTTCTTCTGTCTTCTATGAATTGTAGAAGAGAGGACCCTGAAGACTGTAAACACAAAGTGATGATGAAAGACAGAAATGTTTTGATCAGGACCTCCTGTATACATTTACTGAAATACAAAACCCAATAAATATGTATAGTGATTAAATGTTAATTCAAAAATTAAAAAAAATGATAGAAATGCTAATTTAAACTGATTTACTTATCACACATTGTGAATATATGTATCAAATTATCACACTGTATCCCATAAATATGAACAGTTGTATAATAGAAACAAGAGTATGAACATAAATTTCAGAAGAATCTTCCATAATGTTTGGAAACAAGCACTTTGGAGTATGTACAGAAGAGTTTTCTCCTTTTCTGGGGGAGGGGGGCATTTTTTTTAACTTGTATTTAATTAATATAAATTTCCAAAGTACAGCTTATGGATTACAATGGCTCCCCCCCCCATAACTTCCCTCCCACCCGCAACCCTCCCCTTTCCCTCTCCTTCCCCCCTTCCATTCACATCAAGATTCATTTTCAATTCTCTTTTTATACAGAAGATCATTTTAGCATATATTAAGTAAAGATTTCAACAGTTTGCACCCACATAGAAACATAAAGTGAAAAATACTGTTGGAGTACTAGTTATAGCATTAAATCACAATGTACAGCAAATTAAGGACAGAGATCCTACATGAGGAGTAAGTGCACAGTGACCCCTGCTGTTGACTTAACAAATTGACACTCTTGTTTATGGCATCAGTAATCACCCTAGGCTCTTGTCATGAGTTGCCAAGGCTATGGAGGCCTTTTGAGTTTGCAGACATCGATCTTATTTAGACAAGAGTCATAGTCAAAGTGGAAGTTCTCTCCTCCCTTCAGAGAAAGGTACCTCCTTCTTTGATGACCTGTTCTTTCCACTGGGATCTCACTCGTGGAGATCTTTCATATAGGTTGTTGTGGTTTTTTTTTTTTTTTTTTTTTTTTCTTCCCCAGAGTGTCTTGCTTTCCATGCCTGAAATACTCTCATGGGCTCTTCAGGCAGATCCAAATGCCTTAAGGGCTGATTCTGAGGCCAGAGTGCTGTTAAGGACATCTGCCATTCTATGAGTTTGCTGTGTATCTCGCTTCCCATGTTGGATCGTTCTCTCCCTTTTTTATTCTATCAACTAGTATTTGCAGACACTAGCCTTGTTTATGTGATCCCTTTGGTTCTTAGTCCTATCATTATGATCAATTGTGAACAGAAATTGATCACTGGGACTAGTGAGATGGCATTGGTACATGCCACCTTGATGGGATTGAATTGGAATCCCCTGGTATGTTTCTAACTCTACCGTTTGAGGTAAGTCAGCTTGAGCATGTCCTGAATTGCACATCTCTTCCCTCTCTTATTCCCACTCTTATATTTAACAGCAATCACTTTTCAGTTAAGTTTCAACACTTGAGAATAACTGTGTATTGATTACAGTATTCAACCAAAAGCATTAAGTAGAACAAACAAAAAAATACTAAGAGGGATAATGTATTAAGTCGTTCATCAACAGTCAGGGCAAAGGCTGATCAAGTCACCGTTTCTCATAGTGTTCATTTCACTTTAACAGGTTTCCTTTTTGGTGCTCAGTTAGTTGTCACCGATCAGGGAGAACATGTGGTATTTGCCCCTTTGGAACTGGCTTATTTCACTCAGCATAATGTTTTCCAAATTCCTAACAGGGATCACTTTTCAGTTAAAATTTAAACACCTAAGAATAATTGTGTGTTAATTACAGAGTTCAACCAATAGTACTAGAACAAAAAAAAATACTAAAATGGATAAAGTATTACATTGTACATCAACAGTCAGGACAAGAGCTGATCAAGTCACTGTTTCTCATAGTGTCCATTTCACTTCAGCAAATTTCCCCTTTGGTGCTCAGTTAGTTTTCAAGTTGCAAATAAACTCACACACTGAACACACAAATCAATACCCAGATACAAGTGTGTTTATAGAATTCTCTTTAAATATAATATATCACTTTGCTATGAAACTCATTTTTGATCTGTCAAGGTAATTTTTGGAGTTAACATTCTGTACATATTTAAATTTAAAGCATTTTTAATATCTGTTTGTATTTGTTATACCATATGTTAATGTGCAGGTGTGCACAAATTTCTCTTAATGCCTAGTCTGTAAGAGAGTGAAATCAAAATACTTCAACATGTCAACGGAAGATGGCATTAAATATAAGTTTATTTTCTTTTTGGACAAGTTGCATAGGTAAGATTGTTGCTATGGTTTAATTATCATGTGTATATCTCACAAGAGAGAGCAAATCAAATAAAATATGCAGGATGAGAAAAGCAGGATGATATAGCCAATGGAACATATGATCAGAGTCTGCTGTGATGTGGGTAAATTACTTGAGGTTGATCATCTCATGTCTTTTTTTAAAGTTTTATTATTTATTTATTTATTTGAAAGTCAGAGTTACACAGAGAGAGGGGAGGCGGAGAGAGAGAGCTTCCATCCACTGGTTCACTGATTTACTCCCCAATTGGCCTCAACTGCTTGAGCTGCGCCAGTTCGAAGCCAGGAGCCAGGAGCTTCCTCCAGGTCTCCTATGTAGGTGCAGGGGCCCAAGGACTTGGACTATCTCTACTGTTTTCCTAGGCCATAGCAGAGAGCTGGATCTGAAGTAGAGCAGCCGGGACACGAACCGGCGCCCGTATGGGATGCTGGCACTGCAGTAGGCGGCTTTACCCGCTACGCCATGGTGCCGGCCAATCATGTCTTCTTTTTATGATGTGGATTTAACATTAAGAAGGATAGGGCTGGCGCTGTGGCTCACTTGGCTAATCCTCCACCTGTGGCGCCGGCACCCCGGGTTCTAGTCCCGGTTAGGGTGCCGGGGTTTGTCCCGGTTGCTTATCTTCCAGTCCAGCTCTCTGCTGTGGCCCGGGAAGGCAGTGGAGGATGGCCCAAGTGCTTGGGCCCTATACCCGCATGGGAGACCAGAAGGAGGCACCTGGCTCCTGGCTTTGGATCTGCACAGTGCCGGCATTAGGGGAGTGAACCAATGGAAGGAAGACCATTCTCTCTTTCTCTCACTGTCTATAAAGCTACCTGTCAAAAAAAAAAAAAATAAACATTAAGAAGGATGTTATGATGATTGAATCAAAAATACATGGATTGTTTGGTACATAGTAGGATTCTGAATTTTTTATTTACATTTTACAATTCTATGTAAATCTTTAGCATGGCATTTTATCAAGAGAATGAAATGTATGTGTTACTTTGGAGTCATAAAAATTATGTATATCTACAAAAGATAAGCTGATTTTTGTGGAAAAAATTGAAATATAAGCATATGCTTTTCATAATTAGATTTTTCCATAAATGTTTTGTTGTTCCTTATCTGTGTCTTTAACACAATGATTCTTTCTGCAAGTCTCTGTGTGCTATGGTCTTTTAGGGTTGCTTGGACACCTTCATCATGATTCACTTAGCCCTCAGCTGCTATGAGAAATGTGCCACGTTCTCCTATTGAAGATTTCTTACTTGTGTCTTCTCAGCTAAAGTGCAGGAGGAGATTGAGCGTGTGATTGGCCGACACCGGAGCCCCTGCATGCAGGACAGGAGCCGCATGCCCTACACGGATGCCACGGTGCACGAGATCCAGAGATACACTGACCTCATCCCCAACAACGTGCCCCGTGCAACAACCTGTAACGTTAAATTCAGAAACTACTTCATCCCCAAGGTAAGTTTGTTCCTTCTACACTGCCTGTCTATACTTTTGTAGTTTCCAAACAAGTATGGCTAGACAAGAATGTCATAAATTCCTCTATAGGCACAAAATGAGAGCAGTGCAAAACTCTTATGCTGGGTAGCTTCATAGGCTTTTTGCTTTTTGTGGGTTGAGTTATAAAAAACTATGTACACACTTTGGTCGCTGGGGCCTTATTGTTTTGATAACATTATGTCTAGCAGCCTTGTTAAATTCATTTATGGTTACTAATAACTTGTAGATTCATGTGTAATTTCTACATACACAATTCTGCAATCTGGTTTAATGTTTTTTTTTTCCTCATTATTTTTCAGTTCTCATTATTGCACTGTTTAACCACAATGGGTTCTAGAACAGTGTTGAGTAGAAGACATGAATGTGGGCATCCCTGGTTGATATGTGATTTCCAGTATACAAATACAGAAGACCAACTCTATACTAAGTAAAGAGCTCAACAATTTTGCATGAAAAAAGAAATAAATTATTCCTCAACAGTTGAGACAAGGGCTGTTCAAAGTTAATGCATCTCAAAGTTAATTTCACTTGTTTTATTTTTTTAGAAACTTAGTTAACTTTAAAGAATGACACATCTTTTGCGAGCACTTAGGCATAACTTATGAGACCTAAGAATATCCTCCACTTAATAAATTGAAAGAAAGTCAGTCCTTGAGAAAGAGTTTTATCTTTAATTGAAGAAGCACCTTAAAAAAATCAAGTAATGGAGTTGGGCACAGGCATAACTAAAACTTATGAGATATAAGAATATCCTCCACTTAATACACTAAAATGAAATAGATCTTTGAGAACAAGTTTTACAGTAAACTCTCATAATACCACTATTTGAGGATAGAGGTCTTATATGGGAAGTTAATGCACAGTGGCTCCTGTTGTTAACTTAACAATTAACACTCTTATGTAGGATGTCAGTGATTATGCGAGGCTCTTGACATGAGCTGCCTAGGCTGTGGAAGCCTTTTGAGTCCACAAACTGCATCAGTATTTAGACAGGACCATAAGCAAAGTGGAAGTTCTCTCCTCCCTTCAGAGAAAAATAAATCCTTCTTTGATGACCACTTCTTTCCACTGAGATCTCACAGAGGTCCTTCATGGAGGACATTTTTTTGCCACCCTGTCTTGGTTTTCCATGCCTGAAATGCTCTCATGGGTTTTTCAGCCAGACCAGAATGCCTTAAGTGCTGATTCTGAAGTCAGAGTGCTGCTTAAAGCAATTGTCATTCTATGAGTCTGCTGTGTGGACTGCTTCTCATGTTGGAGCATTCGTTCCTTTTTAATTCTGTTATTGTTACCAGACCCTTAATCCTATTTATATGATCACTTTAACATTTAACCCTATTCCACATATTTTTGATGTGAAGGTAATGTTGACCTCATAAAATAATATAGGTAATGTTCCCTACTGTAAGTTTATTTTTATTTTCTTTCCCTTCTTCCTTATTCTTTTTAAGAAACATTATTTGTAGGGGAGGGAGAGAGAGAAAGAGAGAGAATGTAATCCATAGGTTCATTCCCCAAAATTCTGCAAAATGGCCATTGTTGTTCTTAACCTGAGAACTGGGAATGCAATCCATGTCCCCCTTATGGGTGACAGGAACTCAACCAGGGCCTCCCAAGGATTTGCACTAGCAGGAAACTGGAGTCGGGTACTGAAGCTGGGAACTGAACCCTAGTACTAAAATGTGGGACACAGACGTCTTAACTGATAAATTAAACATGCTCTTTCTGTTCTTATTATGTCCATTTTAAATTCTGTCTTTGGAGTGCTTAATATGTGTTGGTGAAGTGCTACATTAACATATGAAAAAATAAGTCTCTCCTGAGGTTCATCTTCTACAAAAGGTCCATCTGTCCTTCACTAGGCTGACAGAATATTGTTTGTCTTTTTAAAAAGAATAGTTGAGAGGCTGAGAGCAGTAACAGTGAAAAGAGAGAGAGTTTCTGTTTTCTGGTTCAATTCTCTAATGCCTGGGCAGACTGGGTTGTGGATCTGAGAATGCCATGTAGGCCTCCCACATGGGCAGCAGGAGTGTGATTCCTTCTTATCATTTATGCCAGCAGTAGCAGAAATCTGGATTTAGGAGTCAGAGTTGGGAATTAGACCTAGGTATTTTGATACAGGTTGTAGGTGTCTTAACTGCTGCCTACTCTGCCAGGTTTTGTTTGGTAATACAGGGCTAGACATTTTTTATCCTCAGTGTTACAACACCAAAATCTGGGGAATTTTAAAATAAATTGAAGTCAGCACAGTTTTATTTGGTGGCTTACATTTTATTTGAACTGATACGAATCTACTTCTTTTCCTTATTTGTCCTGCTCTGTGTGAATATTTTAATATTTTATTAGAGTGTGTTTGATTACATGGTGTTCTCCACATTATTGAGAGCATCATAAAATCTGTGCAAACATCTTGTAAAATCTTTCTGAATGTCTACGTAATTCTGAATTTAAAACACTGGGTTTTAAAGGTTTCAGATAAAGAATTGTATTATTACATCTCTAATAAAACACACGTTCATATTTTAGGAGCTGTAATAGAAAAGCAGGAAGAGGGTAAAATTGACTCCTATAGAAAATTTTGAGAAGGTTCATTTGAACAAATATGGGGAATAAAAATTTCCCCCAAGTTGAAGAATGGTCACTGGCATTACGTGTGCCATGATTAAATCTCTTTCCAGCTTTCCAGGTAATTTGAGTGCCAGCAGGATGCATGGGGAGAATCATAGCTTCATGCTTATGTAGAGATTGGAAGGAGAGTTACTTGTGTAGAGAAATGAGGTAGGTAGTATGTTCTTCCAACTATTTCCTGAAAATGGAAAATCCAAGTGGTATTCAGATATGCAAATTACTGCTACAAAAGGCAGAACTTTAGTATGAACTTTGGTTCTGATACTGTTAGCCATCATTTAGGGAAAAGGTTTTTTTTTTTTTTTTTTTTTTTTTTTTTTTTTTTTTTTTAAAGACAGAGTTGAAGAGAGAGTTAGAGACAGAGGAGGTCTTCCATCCATTGGTTCACTCCCTAGATGGCACGAAGGCTGGAGCTGTGCCAATCCGAAGCCAGGAGCCAGGAGTTTCTTCCGGGTCTCCCACACAGGTGTAGGGGCCCAAGCACTTGGGCCATCTTCCACCGCTTTCCCAGGCCATAGTAGAGCTTCTGATCTGAAGTGGAGCATCCGAGACTTGAATCGGCACCCATATGGGATGCCAGTACTGCAGGGAGCAGCTTTACTCACTACTCCACAGCACCAGCCCCAACATGATGTTTTGATACAGGGGTAACGTCAAAATCAGGGCAAATATAAGTATCTCCTCAAACATTTGAAAACATTAAGAATCCTTTATTCTGTTTTTTTTTTTTTAAAGAAAGATGTACAGTACCTGTTTTTAAACTATAGCTACCTTATTGTACATTAGAACTTGTTATTTGATAAACCCAATCTTCATTGATACTATCTGAATTATTGCATAATGATGATTTCTCTGATTTTTCATGCCTTATTTTTACACTGATTTTTGAAAAAAATATTTTTATTTATTTGAGAGATGCAGGGAAAGAGAAGGGGGGAGAGAGAGGGGGAGAGAGAGGGGGAGAGAGAAAGAGAGAAAGAGAGAAAGAGAGAGAGAGAGAGAGAGTCATCTATGTACTGTTTCACTCTCCAAATGTATGAGATTCAGAACTCAGTTTGAATTTCCCAAGACTCAAGTACTTGAGCCATTACTTGCTGTCTCTCAGGGTGCACTTTAGAAGGAAGCTGGCATTTCAAGCAGAGCTGAAACTAAAAGCCAGACATTGCAATATAGAATGTGGGCATCTCAAGTGACATAAAATCACTACTTTAAGCATCAAGCCTGACATTTTTTTAAAATGTAGGATTCACTTGTAATGAAGAGTTCCCCTACATTTTTAAATTGAAAAATAAATATTGCATTAAAATAATGAGGAATAAATAGATTTAAGTGTACTTGTTGGTATCATCCTAGAAGTCCTATTAAGTTTCATCAGGTTATCACCTAAAATGCCCTATGAGCAATTTCCAAATACTCCTGACTTTTCTCAGGTCAGCACAGGCTTCCTTTTTAGATGAAAGCCCATATATGAGTTGTGTGAAAACTGAGCGAGGGATTAGAGTAACAAGTAAGGACAGGACCTGTGTCCAAACTTTGTGAAAAATAGAGGGCCTGCAGAGGGTTTGACAAGCGCGTTCCCAAGTACTCAGCCCATCCAATGCTACTAGAGGGTGCTGAGGACAATCTGCTTTTGGGCTCAAACTTTTTCCTGTTTATTTCATTTTCTGGCAGGAAATGTCAGTGTACGTCTTTGCACATGGATTTGCTATCTACAGGCAAATGGCTTGAATGAGGTGATTTCCATCCTTTCTTCCGTTCCTTGGCTTCTTTAGGATTCAGTTTGTCTGCTTTTTCCAGGGCACAGCTGTAATAACATCACTGACTTCTGTGCTGCATGATGACAAAGAATTCCTGAACCCAGACCGGTTTGACCCTGACCACTTCCTGGATGCCAGCGGCAACTTTAAGAAAAGTGACTACTTTATGCCTTTCTCAGCAGGTAACAGAAAGTTATTTCCATTTGAACCTCAGGGACAAGACAGATTTTGGGGATGAGTTGAAACTTAGGTTGTTTGTTCCATAGAGCTGGTAGATTCGCTCTTTGTACGTGAACAGGTGCACCACTCCCATGGCCCATGCCTTTCTTGTGGTACATTCTTATTTTACAGCCAGGTTAGTGGAGTTGTGGGGTGTTGATCCAGTTCTTCCAAACTGAGAATGCTGAAGTGTAAGTTAATCAAACTCTGCCTCTAAGTGCATCTAGCTACACATGTGCTCCTCTTAGAATGTGCATGTCATTAGGCTTTCTTCGCCTATTATGAGAACGGTATATGGGCTGATAACTCTGAGAATCTTCTCTGTGGTGACCTTCATTCTGAGTAAGCTGTAGGGATATAATTAATATCTCAGATCATAAGATGATTTCTTAAGAGGCTCCCGTCCAAGTCAGGAACTATATGTTCTGGAATAGCCAGAATATTAGAATCCAGAAAACGAGTGCTTTGAGAAAGGAAAGCACAGGCTGCTAAGGAGACTGGATGGGGTAACTATCTTCTGTTCATTGACATCCTGGAGCTAACTGACAGCAGAGGAGAAGATTGAATTGCCTCAGAGGAGACAGCAAGGAAAGGAGCGATGCAGGGCACTGTTAGGAAGACAATGGACTTCAGGAGCAGGGCGTTCTCTGTAGATCCAGGGGGTCATATAAATCTAGGAAGGGGAAATTCTGGGAATGTGGAGGGTGCTCTGAGGTGATCGCAGAGTACCTGAATCTTCCTACACTCATGATCATACACCTTGGACATTTAGTCTCCACAGCTAAATTGAGTGTACTGAGTCTCTACATGGAATCCCATTTCCTTTTCTCTGTGTCTTCAATCTTTTGGGTCTGGCATCATACACGTCAGCATGTGAAGGTCTGGGCTCTTCTTTTAATGAAATCGCATTTTTTTATAAAAGATTTTTATTTATTTATTTAAGAGGCAAAGCTACAGACAGAGAGAAGAAGATGAGAGAGAGAGAGAGAGAAAGAGAGAGAGAGAGAGAGGTCTTCCACTCACTGGTTCACTCTCCAAATGGCCATAACGATTCTGAAGCCAGAAGCCAGAAGCCAGAAGCCAGGAGCTTCTTCCAGGTCTCCCATGTGGGTGCAGGGGCCCAAGTATTTGGAACATCTTCTGCTGCTTTCCTGGGCCATTAACAGGGAGATGCTATTGGGATGATGGCACTGCAGGTGGAGGCCCAACCCACTACAACACAGTGCTGGTCCCTGAAAACACATTTTTATCTGCATAGAAAAATAGAGAATAATGTTTAAGGTGATCCATGTTACAGTGGATTGTGAATATGATGAGGTAACTTAGAGGAAGAACTTGGGATTACAAATATTGTAAAGAAGAAGAGTCATAAGACATAGGTTCCAAAGGAAGCAGAGGAGAGGCGATCTTAGATCAATGGGATAGTGCTGAATGAAGCTTGAAACTTCATGGTGGACTGGAAATTGATGAAGAGGGGAGACTACAATTGAGTAGAGTGGAAGGAGTGATATTGATCATCAGTCCATGAACAGATTGTGAAGGTCCAAATCAAGCCATTTGGACCTCATTCTAAGGTAGGGACATGAGAGCCACTTATGGTTTTAAACTCAAAGAGTGATCCATTTAGACATATGGATTTGAAATTGCCCTGGGGGGAAAGAAAGGCTTTGAATATTCTGCCACAGTTTCAAAGGGACATAAAATATGAGGGCACTTTTAGGTTTATGGAAAATAATGTGAAATTATGTCCATCTTGATGAAAAACATTGTTATCCAAGCATTAGAGAAGTCCTCAATAATTCTTTGCAAATGCATAATATGCAAAATTTTTGATGGATTTCAACTGTTTCTGAGCCATAATAGACTTACATTTCCATTCCATTTTATCATGAGTTTTCTGAAGTATATTTGTATATGAGCAACCTCCACTCAACCTTTCTCTCTTCAACCCTCTGCACAAGAAATGTGTGTTTCTTAAAAAATCTGGTCTAAACTCAAAGTGTTTATAATGTGGCGATGTTAATGAGATGTGTGGCACAGAACTTATATTCAATAAACATTTGTAAAGTGAGGGACACCTGATATAATCAGATGTTATATGGATAGTAAGTGCTTATCCTTTGTTCCGTGTGTGTATCCAACAATTCTCCCAGTCATCCTGTCTTCCATCCACCCACCCTTCTGCTCAGTCCTTGAGCAAGCAGTCACTGCATACTTCTTGTGATAATTTCACAACCCAGTGCTTGGGTAACAAATCCTCTGTGCTTTTTTTTTTTCTTCTCAGGAAAGCGAGTGTGTGTGGGAGAGGCCCTGGCCCGCATGGAGCTGTTTTTATTCCTGACTACCATTTTGCAGAACTTTACCCTGAAGCCTCTGGTTGACCCAAAAGACATTGACATCACTCCACTCTCCACTGGGTTTAGCCGTGTGCCACCCTTGTACAAGCTCTGTCTCATTCCTGTCTGAAGACAGGTGATGTGGCTGCTGCTGGGCTGTCATCTGCTATCCCCACCCCTCCAGAGCAGCTTCCTACTCCTTCGCCTAGCATGGGTCCCTTCTCTGTCATGTCCTCTGACATTTATTCATTACTCAAGACATAGCCTCCATTAGAGAGGTGTTTTTTTTCTTTTTGGTGTCTCTTTATAAATGTGTATCTGCTATTCCTTATCATCTGTAACTCTTGGATTGATCACCATAGGGACTAATACCTGTCTAATGCTGAGTTATTAATATATTATCACTATAAAATTGAGCAAGATGGTTGGTATTTGACAATTCAGAATCATTTCTCCTTTATGTTTTTTCAATAGAAGCATTATTAAATGTTGACTCAGTCTCAAATTTTCTTTCTTTTGTACATAATGTGAGAAGAAATGAAAGAAAACAAAGTCCCTAGAGGCCATGCTGGTTCTTATATTGATTGGCACAAATCTGCAAAAATAGAAGAAGAGCAGTCTCTTGAATGTCACCTAGAGGTGCTGGAGACTTGGATGTGAAAGAAAGAAACTATGTTCAGGAGTAGTTACCACCTGCTGGGAATTTTTTTCCAAGGTTTAAACTAATTTATATTAGTAATTACACCAAACATTGCTTTCCTTTTTTTATTCCATCTTGTCCTTTTTTCTTTTTAAAAATTATTTATACAACGTGAACAAATTTCTTATATTTCATATATATAAATTTAGGGGCATAGTGATACTTCCCACACTACCCACCCTACTGCCCATGCTCCTATCCTCTCTCTTCCTTCCGTTTTATTCTTTCTTTTAATTTTTACAGTGTTGGAGAATTTTAAGAGGATTAGCTGAAGGAGCTTAAAGTATCCAAATACATGCCCCTGATTTGATGATATAGTTGACACTATAAAAATTTTTAAATATTTTTAATATTTGTGCTTACAACTGACATTCAAGTATGTATACCTGCTCTCATATTGCAAATTGTATATGTGTTATTCTTTCCTCCCAGAAAACAGAATTCCTAGAAAGTCTCATGAGATCTTATTAATTTGCTCCTTTCGACCACATTTTTTACACTTAGCAGATATATTATGTAATATGGTATCGTGGTACTCTAATCATTAGCTTCATTTCATCTCCAAGATATACAACACTGAACCTTTAAGACATTTAAAAATACATGATTATCATTTTTCCTTCTATATTCATAGAACCTAGAAACAAAAAAGTGAAAGTTAACACATTATCTTCATTTAACCTTTGTTGATCTTTAAATGACAAGTTTTAATATGTTAGCTCTGGTGTGAAAAAACAAGCAATATTGTGAACTTTTTTCATGTCCTGTTTTATTGATTTTTGTACTAATTTTTAAATTATTTTATTTTTTCTTCTCTTTTTTGGAAATAACTAAATCTTCATTTTCCTAAAGTAGATACTTAAATTACTGGGTTTTAAAAATTCTTATTTTTAATGCTTGCCTTTAATGCTCTAAATTTCCCCCTAAGCACTATCTTTACTCCACAAGTTGTTTACCAATCACCAGCAAGCAGGAATCTCTTCTTTAACTTATCTGATATAAAGTCCCAGAAATATCTTTTACCCTCTTTATCATAATGGTTCAGAAAACATAAAACCTGGAATGATATTTTGATATTTCAAATGATTCTGGAGGCTGCTTGCCTCATAGAAAATGTTGTATCTAGGGAACAGTGGATTGATTGAATTCAAAATTATACTTTACAGGACAATTTATGACATAGGCTTTGGCAGTAAGTTCTTTATTAAGACAGCAAAAGAGTAGGCAAGAAAAGAAAAACTAGATGAATTGGACTGCATCAAAATTAACTTTGTGTGTAAAGGCAAGCTAACAACAGAGTGAAACACAATGGGAGTGCATATGTAGACAGAAGAAGCCCTGAATTGCAATAACAATAATAAAAGCAGCAAACAGTCCGAAGCAGTGGCTAACTTGGCTAATCCTCAACCTGCGGTGCCAGCATTCCATATGGGTACTGGGTTCTAGTTCTGGCTGCTCCTCCTCCATCCAGCTCTCTGCTGTGGCCAGGAAGGCAGTGGAGGATGGCCCAAGTACTTGGGCGCCTGCACCCACGTGGGAGACCAGGAGGAAGCACCTGGCTCCTGGCTTTGGATCGGCATAGTTCTGGCCATGGCGGCCATTTGGGGGGTGAACCAATGGAAAAAGGAAGACCTTTCTCTCTGTCTCTCTTTCTGACTGTCTATCTGTCAAATGAAAAAAAAAAAATATGCAGCAAACAACCAACTGACAAACTTGGAAAAGAAGTTGAATACACTTTTCCATAAAGAAGCTATGGCTCTGCCAATAAGCACATGAAAAATGTACTGTATTGAAATTGGACATGACCCCCTAAAACTTATACAAAAACTGGCCCTTTAAAGTTCCCCAGAAATGCCATCTGGGATGCCACGTATACTACCGGAATTTGGGGTACCATATGTTTTCACCATATGTTTATTAATAAATCCCCAATATTAATAAGCCCAAGAGGGTTCTTGCCTAATATTTAGAGAAGAATTCTAAATACCAGCACAGATAAACGAGGCAGCATGGTACATTTTAAGCTTTTATTTAGTGCGAAAGATGCATAGGAGAGTGAGAGCTTTATTTAAGACAGAGAGGTAAATATGGGTTCATACTGAGCACCAGGAACCAGTCACATGGAGGAGCATCTAGGCCAGAATGCCTAGGGCGCATGGCCCCAAGGCCATGCACCCTGGAGGCGCAGGGCTAGAGCAAGCCCCCTCCTGGCAAGAGGCCAGGGAAGAAGAGAAGGGCCAGGACATACCATATCCTAGGCTTTTAACCCAATTCCAAAGGGGAGTGGTTAATTAACCCGATTGGCTGGTGGGCACCCAGGTGTGGCCAGGTAGGGTGATGAGGTCACACAGGGGTATGGCGAAGTCGTGGTCTTCCAACTTACAAACCTAATCCATTTTAACCTGTATGCCTGCCTACTTCACTATCATTAATTATTAGAACAATGAAAATCTAAAGCACAGTGAGATATAACCTTTTACCTACTGGGATTGTCGTTATGAAAAACCAAAACATAGTAAGTCATTGTGAGAAACTGAGAAAATTGAAAGTGTTTTTCACTGCTGCCAAGAATGTAAAATGATGCAGCCACTGTGATATAGTGTAGTGGTTCCTTAAAAATTTAGAAATTGAATTACTGGAGGCAGCAAAGTGGTGGCAGAGTAAGATCTACTACTAATAATATCCTGACAGAGACACCATTCACACACAAGTCTGTTGTTACAAGAGTTTGGTAGATGGGGCCGGCGCTGTGGCTCACTTGGTTAGTCCTCCACCTGCAGCACCGGCATCCCATATGGGCTCTGGGTTCTAGTCCTGGTTGCTCTTCTTCCAGTCCAGCTCTCTGCTGTGGCCTGGGAGGGCAGTGGAGGATGGCCCAAGTGTTTGGGCTCTTGCACCCACATGGGAGACCAGGAAGAAACACCTGGCTCCTGGCTTCAGGTCGGAGCAGCGCCTGGCCATGGCAGCCATTTGGGGAGTGAACCAACGGAAGGAAGACCTTTCTCTCTGTCTTTCTCTCTCACTGTCTATGACTCTACCTGTCAAATAAAAAAAAAAAAAAGAGTTTGGTAGACAAGTAAGAGACTACAGTGCTTGATTTTAGTATACTAATAAAAGATACACTGAAGAAGGCAGGAAAGAGGCAGTTTCCTGTGTTACCCCTCCATAAAATGCATTGGGGAGAGAGGTTAAGAGAAGTTTCTGGCCCCTGGCTTTGTCCTGGCGCAACCTCAACCGTTGTGGCCATTTGGGGAGAGAACGAGCAGTTGGAAGATCAATCTCTCTCACCCACCCTTCATCTCTGTCTGACTCTGACTTTCAAATAAATAAATGAACCTTAAAAAAAAGAGAAAATAATGATTACAGCTTAGATGCTGTAGAAGCCTTCACTAAAGTGCCCATCTAGGAACAAAGGCACCAAAAGCACTTCATATTCAACCAGTACTCTAGGACACATTGCCAGCAGAAAGTCTTACTAAGGAAGGCATTATATAAAATTGGTGGAAGCAACTGAGCTACCAGATGCACAAAGATTAGTATAGGAGCTCAAGAAGCATGAAAAAATGAGGTGATATAATGCCTTCAAGAGAACACAACGATCCTCTAGTAACACTCCACACAGAAAAGCAAAGTGATGAATTTCCTATATAATAACTTAAGAGAATAGTTTTAAGGAAACTTAATGATGTGCAAAAGAATCAGATAATTCAATAAGCTTAGAAAGCCCATTCATGATAACATGAGAAGTTTATTCAAAATGTAGAGGTCATAATAAAAATCATTAATCTTCAAGCAAATGAATCAATTAATGAAGTTAAAATATGTTAGAATGCCTCATGGGCAGAATTGAGGTGGAGTGTACCTCAGCATAATAAGGGGCATCTATGACAAATCCACAGTCAACTTCATATTGAGTGGGGAAACGCTGAAATTTCTGACTCTAAGATGAGGAACAAGAAAGCAGGTATAGTCTAACTACTCTTCAATTTAGTATTGGAAGTGTTAGCCACGGCAATTAGATGAGGAGAAGAAATAAAGAGCATCTGCAAAGGAAGGAAGGAGTTGAAATTATCCCTGTTTACAGAGGACATGATTTTATATAGAGAAAATCTTTTTAAGACCACCAAGAAGCTGTTAGAACCGATGAAAAATTAATTAAAATTGCAGACTAAAAAAATACAAAAACAATAGCTTTAAAAATATATCAGTAAAAAGACTGCAAAGGAAGAACTCCAGAAGCAATCCCATTTACAAAACCTACAAATAATTAAAAACTGGGAGTAGAATGGAAGAGGCTGGTGATGGAGATAAGTTGTTCATATATAAAGGAGTGCAGGTTATAAGAATAATAATTTCTTTTAAAAATTTTTTATTCACTTAATTTTTAATTATTCAAAAGACAGAAAGAGAGAGAGAGAGAGAGAGAGAGAGAGAGATTATCCATGCACTGGTTCACTTCTCAAATTCCCAAGACAGCCAGAGCTGAGCCAGGATGAATCCAGGAATCAAAAACTTCATCCAGGTCTTCCACATAAGTGTCAGGCACCCATGCAGTTGAGCCATCACTGTTACCTCCCAGGTATGCATTAGTAGGAAGCTGGAATCAGGAGCAGAGCAAGGACTCAGTTCCAGGAGTTCTGATATGGGATGTGGATGTCCCAAGCTGTGTCAACCTCTGTGTCAAAAGCCTTCTAATGTTTTATGGCACAGTTGGATAACGGTGATTAACAACAATGGATTCAATATTCCAAAATAGCCAATAGAATGCATTTTGAATGTTTCCAACACAGATA